AGTTCCAAACTAGTTCCAGATAATCGTTAGTTCCGTAGTCCTAGTTCCGGAACTGGAACTAGAACTAATTAGTTCCGGAACTGGAACTTTGCCCATCACTGTTTTGTAGGCAAGGGTCTGTGCTTAATAAGCCAAAAGTTTGAAGTCACTTCTGTCTTCACTCGTTCGAGAATGAGAGAAAATCTCTGACAAAGTATTGCGAACTTTTGTCTAAAATTTTTCGCGCGCCTTCGACTCTGTATCCAAGATAGAGTTGGGTTCTCCTAAAATTCTTGATTATATTTGTTTCTTCTTCAATTCTCTATCATATAAGCTTTATTTGAGCTCATTATCTTTAACACGAAAAAAGTTATGAAGGAATGAAATGTATGCAATAACATTGTGGTCACCCTGTAGATGTTAACAATAATATAATTGAAAATATTTCCAAATTCATTATAAATCATTTAACAATTTCCGAATCTCTCAAAATCGCTTTTGATGAGTATAACATTTCAAAGAAATATATAGATATTTTATTTAATATTTTAATAAATGAAGGCAATAAATTATTTCAAGTTTGTATCAATAGTTTTAGAAGTTATAGTTTGTCAAAGCTTTATGATCTTCTTTTTGAAGTAAGTTATCTATTTACTGATATGTTAGGTATAATAACTAGAGGGTAAATTAGCCAGTTTGGAAAGATTCCCCAGTAAAATCTGTCAGGAATGTGTTACGACCCCGCCTACGTAGAGGAAGATAACAGGTACTTTATCACACTAACGAAATACAATGAAGGTTGTGGTAGGAAGAATGGACAGGTGAAGAGACTCAGAATTAACTAATGGCTGGCTTACATACAAACAGAATGTTAAAGTATAAGATGGCATTTTAACTAGAGCTAGGAATTTTGAAAAAACCGGGACCGGGTAACGGGTTCTGAAAAATGGACCGGCCGGGTTCCGGGTTGGGAAACCGGGAAAACCCGTCCCCGGCTTCAACCCGGTTGCTTCAAAAATACCGGGAAAACGGACCCGGAAACCGGGAAACGGGTCCGGGTCCCGATCCCGTTCCTAGCTCTAATTTTAACCCGTGTAAAGCATATAGCTATTTATTCATAAGGCTGTCATGAGGGGGCGTAGGGTCAGGGATAAGACATCACTCCGGTCCACTGAAGATGCTGGTTCGCGCCCAGACGCGGAATAACCATTTGCACTAGCTGAAAAAGATTAATACCTATAGCCCAGCTTTGCTTTAATTCGGGATGGGCTTTTTTTAACAGTTATTTCCTTTATTCCTTGTTGTATCTCATAGATAAATTAAAGTTTTAGTATATAAAAACATCTACAAATTGTTCAAATATGGTACCCTGTATTATGTTAGAATATCGTTCTGCCTCAAATTTTAAATTGAAAGAGAGAGCAAAAAATGTCGAACATTTTTCTAATTCTGCTTTTGGTGTAAAATATACAAAATACCAAATTGTCAATAAATTTGATCCAACAGTGAAATTTTCATTTTGCAATGCAGAGTCAACGATTAGATCAGCTTTTCAGTTTAAAACAACAATAATGAAAATCAGAATGTAAAATTTGAGGGAAAAATATGAAAATTTTATTCATTCATCAAAATAAACTATTTTTGAAATATTATTTTAATTGTAAACATTTTCGATTAATTTGTTTCAATAAATTGATGAATTTTAAACGTTTTAGCTGTTTAAAGCCTGCAAATAACGAATTAATAATTCTGACTATCATTCTCGATTTACCAAATTCTTCGGTTACCTGAAACCGCAAATCAGGGTTTTTTCTTATCTTCAGGTTATTTCCAACCGGATTAATCGAAAAAATCAAACGAAACCGGCTCTAATTACAAATCAAGAGTTTGACATTAACAGATTTGTTATATGTACTTTATTCGGGACCAAAGCTGTTTTGAAATTTCGAGTTTAGATTTCTATATTTTCGATTTTGGAATTTTTGAAAAAATGATTTTCGGGCTTTAAAAAAGATTTTTGGCTTCCTAGCCTTTCAAAATTTTCAAAACTTTCGTCTGTGTCGCGGTGGAACGCAACATTTAAATAATAGCATTTTATAGCGAGCTTAATTATCTGATTTTTTGTACGTTTGTCTTATTGATGTATGAATTAAATTATTCTCTGTTATCTTTTTTAAATAAAAGTATGTAATGTGTTGAACAGGAGAAAAAGTTTTTAATTTTAAAAATACATGTAAGTTTATCAAAAAAATGCAAATTAAAGTTCAATTTTTAAGTAAAATAAACATATGTGTTATCAAAATAAATTTAACAATTAATTCTCTTAATTACAACTTGACACCCACCCACATAGCTTTTTTGCTCATAAATAGAAAATTTAATTTCTGGATTGTATTCATTGGAAAGTTCATATTCTATGGATGCTAATGTGTTATTTATAAATGTCTTTTGAATATTTTCTGATCTTTTACTTATTATAAGATCACCACTAACATGAATAAATCTAATTTCATTTACCATCTTAGATAGGTCTTTTGCTGTTTCTATATGCTAAAATTAAATTTTTTAAAATTATTCTAGCCAAATTTATTTTCAATAATTCATAAATTAGATTGAACAACAAACTGACTAAAAATCATCTGATACTCTACTAAGTCAAAAAAAACTCATCCCTATAATTTTGCGTAAAAAATCATGGATGTGCCTACGCTAACTATATTTGGGGAAGTCATAAATGAATGTGAAGATTAAAATGGATAGTGATGGATAAGAGATTCAAGATAATTAAGGGTCTGATTTGCAACCAAAGCTTTAATTTTACTTCTCTTTTGCCGAATCCTTTTTCGACTTTAGTCACGTTCTTAAAATTAACTACATGGGAATCTCAAAGTTTTCGTTTTTATTTAAAAAATGCATTTATCATCATTACCTGTATAATTAGACTGTAAAGTTTTAAGCTTAGATAATTATAACAGATATTAGTAAATCTATTTCCTCCATTCGTCAAAATTTTAAATAAATTATTTATCCATTTTTCTATATAGGCGACTTCCATAATACTAGCAGTAAATTCATTCGAAATCAAATGATTCATTATAAATTTATAAGAACATTCAGTATGTTTTTTGTCAATATATTGATAAGACGTTTGAGAATGGAATTGTAAAGGTATATTTGTTTCGTTTTCATCAAATAATAATTCAATCATTTGTGAATTAAATATAGAGCCATTGAAACCAATATATTCAAAGGCACAATTAAAAAGTTGTTCAAGTATATAACGAGCAAGTTTCATTTCTTCAATATTTTTTGGAATGTTTGGAAATTGAATAAAAATCCCTAAACAATAAAAAGTAAAAGAATATTTTTATTTAGAAATATACAGTAAAGCGGTTGGTCCCGTTCCCCAGTGCCTCGTTGGTTAATTGATGTTTTAAGCAAAGTCGCGCATGCTGCAGACATGTGTGAACTCCGCAGAGTATAGAAATAGGTGAATCGCTCGCAGTGGGGGAATATAGGGAGAGCTCTTCCCTATAAGACTCGATGGATTGGCCGGCCGGCAACTCTGTTGAATGAAAGAAGAAGTGATCTACCTTTGCCTATTACATTAGAGCTTATAAACACCAGCCTATTTCCTTATTGCTTTCCCAAGGATAAGTTAGTGGCGATTGTTAGCTTAGATAATGGGCGGCTAATAACTCTCTGGGAATGGCCGTTTGTAATATTCTTTACACCTTCCTGCAAACTTCCGTTAACTAGAGCGACATTGCTCTTCACGTGTTTTTAGGATGATATCCGCCTTACAATATTAAGAATTTGACTCATCTATTCCACATTCCCACTAGTATAGAAATTTAGAATATTGAAAAGCTTATTGCTTTGTTACATCCCAAAAATAATTTTAGTCACAGATCACTAACTTCGTCCGTATTCACTCTCTAAAACTGAAAAAATATGAGTTTTTGTAGAATCATCAGCATTTAAAAACATAGGAATTGACTCATCTATTCCACATTTCCACTAAGATTTTTTTAGGTATTTTAAAATAAAAAATATTAATTTTGAACCTTTTTCTCGAGTTCCTTACTTAATTGAAACTCATAAAGTTTGGGTTCCAGTGTAAATAAATTATAATAAATTAAATTGTAATCACAGACAAAATACTAAAAAAATTATAGAATTAATTTATGAAAATTACAAATGTTAGTCCATCGAATTTCTTCCTAGCCAATTCTTCCCCATATTCATTAATAAAATTTTTGTAAAAACAATTAATTTCTTGAATATCTAATAATTGATTGAAATCAAGAAATCTAAATATATCTAATTGAACTTCTGGTGGAAGAAAATACATTCTTTATAAAGTTTTTAGTCTGAAAATAATTTTAGTCGGAATGAAGAAAAAAGTAAATTTTATTTATTCCAAATTAAATACATATTTACGATGGACAGACACAAATAAAATAAATGAGGCTCCATATACTATGTAGTCTACTCTAAAGAGTTGACTGTCCTGTTTAAAGAGTTGCTTTATTATTGACCTCCTTTTTTTTATTAATTACTTGCCTTCATTTTCTATTAAATATTTGCCTTATGTTAATGTACTAATTCAGGGCTCGGATCGACAAAATGCCCATAAAAAGTACAAAAATCTTGATTTTAAAGTACATAGGGGCAAAATTTCCACATTTAAAGTACACTCAAAATTAAATTAGAAAATATTTATTCGTGCTCAAATCTTTTATATTTCTCTCTTAAATTAATCTTTTCTAATAATTTCTTATTTCAACTTTGCATTTTGTGAATTTCAATGCACTTTTTTGTGGAGCCGAAGGCACCAAAAAATCTATTTTTTGCGCCGCAGGCGAAAATTTTGAGAAATTTGGGGGGTCCTTAAGCCAGATTTCTTCCATTTTTTTCAAAATGTTGATTTTAAAGTACATACTTTCAATAAAGTACTAATCCGAGCCCTGACTTAATTTGCCTAAATAATTTATGTATATATTTTTTAGATAATTAAAATGAATTCTCTACCGACTGAAGTTCAACTTGACGTATTAAAATGTCTTGATTTTAAACAATTATATGCCTTTAAACAAACAAATCTTCACTTTCTTAATTTAATTAATAAATATGAGAAGGGATTGGCACGAATTAAATTCAATAGACTTCGACTTGTAAATATTTATTAAAAGTTATTATTGCTTTTAAAATTTCAGATTAACTGTCATGACTCATTCATTTTTTTAAACAAAGATGTGTATAAATTTATTGAACTTAAATCTGGAGTTTTTGAATTTAATTTAAATGGTCGGCTTCTTAAAAGAGTTAAATTAATTTCCCTTGGTTAATTATTATCAAGTTTTCAGTGGAAAACTGCGATAGCTGAGTCAATTCCGTTGTTTTTACACGATTTTGAACCTGGCGCAAAGATTAATATTTGCTTAGAGAAAGCATTTGTGGACCACAAAACACTACGTTATTGCCTTTTAGACTTGCCAAATATTCCAAAAAATATAGAAGAAATGGTTATGATTCGATGTTGGTTGGAGCATATTTTTAATTGTGCTTTTAGTTCTGGCCGTTTTACTAAAATTATATTTAATCAAGAAATGATTAATTTATTATTTGATAACGACAAATCAATTACTCAATTCCACATTCAAAGACCGTCTCTGGAGTCTGTTTTAATTTTTCACAGATCCTGGACTAGGGTTGTGGTTCTGGACCTAAAAACTTCGGTAATTCTGTTTCAGATATCCAAGAATTTCCAGGAACAGACAACACTGTTCTTGACAGAAAGCATACATGAGAAATCTTCAAAAACAAGACTCACCTTTTTACGTAAAGTTTTTCCATAAAAGGAAGAAACATAGATTCTTGGCCCCCCAAAATTCTCAGTGTCTCAGTGCTGTAAAAGTAGGAAATCTGATCTTTGATATAGTAATGACCAAGGATCGTTATTGACTCGTAGAAAATTTTTGGTCTTGGACTGCTATAATATGTATTTCTTAATTTCTCGTTTTTCGGATAAACGAAAAATTATGCAGAAATCTGTGGAATAATTAAAACAGACCACTGGTGGCTATCAATCTTGCTTTTGAAAATATTTGGAAATTTGCTTTAAATTATTTGGCAATTTCTGAATTGATTACCATCTATTTCTATCAATCTGGCATTGAAACGCAATATATAGATATTTTATTCGATATTTTAATTAATGAAGGTAATAGATTACCTCAAGTTTGTCTAACGGATTATCTAAGTTATTCCAGTATATCAAAAATTCATGATCTAATTATAAAAGTAAGTTATTCAAGTTGTGCATTTATAATTTGATTCTTAATAATTACCAAAAAATTGATTCCCAAAATATGCAAATATGCACGGGACGGCCGAAATAAGCAAATATATGCATTAAGAACCGGATCCTAAAGTGCTCGGACCAACGTAAAAACACCATTTTTGGGCTTCCAAGCTCAAGGCATATCCGCATACAAAACATGCATTTGCATGTTTTGTCGGGCCCTATTAATAACACATTATCTGTTAAATTTTTAGTATGCAATAACATCTAGAAATTGTTCAAAGATGGTAGATGTTATTCAATTAAGATGCATTTCATCTTCACATTTTAAATTAAACGAAAGAGCAGAAAATGTTGAAATTGAACAATTAAGTGATGTAAAATTAACAAAATACAAAATTGCCAATATTCACAATCCAAAAGTGAGATTTTTATTTTGCAATAGAGAATCGAAAGGTGGATCATTTATTTGCGTTCAAATTAGCAAAATGAAATGTTAGAGTTTGATTTATTGGTTTATCGGACAAGGAAATATTTTTATAAAATATTGCTTAAATTTTACAAACAATTTCGATTAAATTTCTTTTTGTTTTATGAAAATTAGTGACACATTTTTTAGTTGGGTTTAAGTCTGACAATTAATTCGTTAGTGTCTGGTCAGATAATAATATGTAGATATCGAAAACTTGGATTTTGGCCTAGACTCCCGCAAAAAATCCGGTCTAGTTTGCTTTTACATAATGCTGTTTATTTCTACAGATGACTGAATAACCCAATTTTTAAGCTTTTAATGATTCTAGTAAATATTTCAAAAATTGAAAAATGCTTTATACTAATATTTAAATAATCTAAATATAATATCAAACAAAAATAATCAAACTAAAATATTTAGTACTTGTAATAAATATGTAAAATAACTACATAAATTTTATAAAATCTAATATAGATTGATGAATCAAGAATATCAAAAAATAAAAATCAAATTATACTATTTAGGGTTGCCAAAATGGACCGACTCGGATTGAAAGACCGAGTCGGGCCTAGATTTTTGGCTTGTAAAAACTCTTACCGGCCCGACTCGATAAAGTTAGGCCCGAAAAAGACTCGTACCGGCCCGACTCGATAAAAACAAGCCCGAAAAAATGCCTCGACCGCCGGCCCGACTCGAAAACGGCAACCCTAATACTATGGTTGTTTTTGTTAGAAACTAAGAATAATTTTAAAATACCAAGATATTTTAAAAATAATAACTACATAGTACGTCTGGGCCCAAGCGAATCGAGTTTTTTTTAGTTCGTAAAATCCTCAGCGTCTAGCAATGATTAAATTTGCCCAGTTTTACTGTTAAAATTTTTAAACCCCTTCAAATATAGGTAGTATAGAATAGCCAAATGTGAAAAAGTTTTATAAATTCGTTCATTTAAAATTAATTACTAAAAAGAATAATTTTCGAAGCTGGGTTCATATATTTATAAAGGAATTTTGTTTCAGTGTTAGATCTACCTATATTGGCTAATTGAAATTACCCAAATTTTTGTAAATTTTTAATAGACCTTTTTTAAAAAGACTAGTTATTTTACTCGTTAAATTAATGCATCAAGCTCAAGCTAGGGTCTATCAATTATTTCTCTGGCTGATCCAGGTATTAGTGTTGGTCAAACGCGATTTTGCGGTATCGGTATTTTCGGTAAAATACCGATACCGCAAAATACCGCGGTATTTTTGATTGAGGCGGTATCGGTATCGGTATTTCGGCAAAAATACCGCGGTAATACCGAAAAATACCGCCGTAATACCGATTTTGGTAAAATACCGATACCGAAAAATACCGATTTTTTTAAATTGTGCGGTACCGTATTCGGTATCGGTATTTTGGTAAAAATACCGCGGTATTACCGAAAAATACCGCGGTAATACGGTACCGCGACCAACTCTACCAGGTATAATGGTCCTAATTACCTAAGAATGGCAAAAATTTCTCCGTAGCTACGATTCTTTATGTTCCTTATCATTATTGGTTAATTAAGCATGTTTCTTTCACATTTGGCTAATCTATCTTACATAAACCTTTCTTAAATAAAGCCATAAAGGCTTAATGAATATGCTACAATTAGACAAAGTTTGTTGCAATAAAATATACAACAAAACACATAACAATGAAGCTAACTATTAAGCAATAGACAGCAGATTTATAAGCTTCATCAACATGTTGATTGAATTCATCTACCAACTTATTATGTTTTTTCATACGTTCCTCTTCTTCCTTCTGTCTTTTAAAAGCACGCTTTGTACGGCGGTTGTGACTATTCGAAACGGAATTAATTTTTAAATTCCAAATAGCAAAAAGATTTGAGAATAACTCCCAATTGCCCCCAATTAACTGTAAAGCCACTCCATTTTCCATATCATCTCCACGAACACCACAAGCGTTTAAAACTTTTTTTCCAAGCGTCAGAAGCGAAGGTATTTTATCCCAATCATTTCCCTTTACTATTTCTCGCAGTTCATTGGAGAAATTTTTAGCCAAAGTTAGATATTGTTTTGAAGATTTATGTTTCTAAAGATTAGAAAATTTTAAACTACTACTAATAAACAATTTCGCATTCAAATACACTTTATGCTGGAATGAACGCAGAAATATTACGGACTTTTAGCAACAAATCGAAGTTGACAAAAACATTTAATTTTCAAATAAAGTGTAATTAAGCTTGAATTTATTTTTACCTTCTGGGAAACCAGATTATCCTTCAAATCATCTAATTTTTTATCCAAATTTAAATTTTTTAAATTTTGCTTCAAGCCTTTATTCTCAATTGAATCTAACAGTTCATCAAATGTAAATCCTTCGTTCAAATAAATTTTAACAAGAAAACAAAATGAAAATAAACAAAATTTTAAATTCATTTTTAAACTCTTAAATTAATTAAATTTTTTAAATAAATATATATTTATTAAACGAAAAAAATAAATAAATAAATAATTTTTAAAAAATAAATTTTTCTTTTATGAGAGAGAGGGAGAGGGGGAGAAAATATTTTTTTGCCATTTATTTCGAGAGTCAATATTGAGAGTCAAATGCTTTAATCCCATGATGGCCCATGGAAAAATATTTCTTAATAAAATTAAGAAATATATATAAAACCCAAAAGGTCAATGAATGATTGAAAATGTTTTTGAGGAATTAAAAGTTGTTTAGGCAACAATAAATGTCTTAAACATTTGTTTTTCCACATTGGAACCTCTCACGTTATTCAAATACCGAGTACTTAAACCAGTGCTTGACTTTGGGCGTTCTGTGACCCCGGCTTTGGGCATTTCAAGATCCTTCACTTTTTTGTTTAGCAAAATTTTGTTTGACTGAAGAATTACCGAAATTAATTTTTAAAGAATTACCCATACATATAAGAATTCGACATATAGGGGTGAGGGAGAGACTTTTATGAGAGAGAGAGAGGGAGAGAAAACATTTGTTTGCCATTTACTTCGAGAGTCAATTAATTTTGAGAGTCAAATGCTTTATCTCATGATGGCCCATGAAAAAATATTTCTTAATAAAATTAAGAAATATATATAAAACCCAAAAGGTCAATAAATGACTGAAAATGTTTTTGAGGACTTCAAAGTTGTTTAAAAAGCAATAAATGTCCTAAACATCTGTTTTTCCACATTGGAACCAGTGATGTCAAAGTTCCGAAATTTCTCTGTAGTTCTAGTTCCAGTTCCAGAATCATGTTTTTAATTTTTGTAGTTCCAGTTCCGGAACTTAATTTTTGAAATTCCGTAGTTCCAGTTCCAAGCTAGTTCCAGGCATTTACTAGTTCCGTAGTTCCAGTTCCAAGCTTTTTCCAGGCATGTACTAGTTCCAGTTCCAAGCTAGTTCCAGGCATATACTGGTTCCGTAGTTCCAGTTCCAAACTAGTTCCAGATAATCGCTAGTTCCGTAGTTCTAGTTCTGGAACTAGAACTAAGTAGTTCCGGAACTGGAACTTTGACATCACTGATTGGAACCTCTCAAGTTATTCAAATACCGAGTACCTAAACCAGCCAAAGTTCTGTGACTCCGGCTCTGGGCATTAAAAATCTTGGTTACCCAAATCCTTCACTTTTTTGTTTGGCAGAAGTTCGTTTGACAGAAGAATTACCGGAATTAATTTTTAAAGAGTTACCCATACATAAAAGAATTCGACATATAGGGGTAGCTTGTAAATAAAATTAAATTCACGTGAAAACCCTTAAAAGAGCAACGATTAATTTAAGTCATATTACTTTAAAAAATATTTTCTAAGTGCAAATAAACTCATGATGGGTAAGGCAAGAAAAAAATATTTTTTACAAAAATAAAAAAGATAACCCAAAATAACAACTAATAATTTAACTATTAGCCTGGGCAACTGAAATACCCTTCTTCTAATTGATAATCTACTATAATTTGGTTGGCTACAAAGTTTGGATAATATAAAAGTTTTAACTTTCTGGCGGGATAGGTGGTTATTTTTAAATATAGGGTAAAATGGGAAAACCTCAAACATCGCGCAACCCCTCGACATCGCGCAACCCTACTAATATTGTTGCATTTTTTAATTTTTGAATATTTTTTCAATTCATTTCATGGGACGCAAAAATTATTTTTGCGTTATTAAAAATTATTTTTGCTTACATAAATAAAAATGATAGCGTTTACAAACTTTGTTTATCTATAAAAGCTAAACGCGTAAACTCCTCAATTAAAATTATATTAATCTGGAGATCCATACTTTTGATTCAAGAGGTTTAGGTCATAGTATTTTAATATGTTTAAAATAAGGTTAATAAGGTATCGAAAACCTTAAAATCAGATGCATATCGCAAACAAACGTGACTTCTTGGGTGCCAATCTCTCTCCTATTGGCTCAAAATTGACAGAAGACCAACTTTCTCTTTCCCTTCAAGATACGTTGTATTAAAAATAAAGACACTTATGATATACATTAATGGTTTATAAACAAAAATAGACAAAAAAATAAAATTCCATATGTCCAAATAGGGTAATTAGTACAAATTAATATATAGTGCAACAATGTAAATGGATCACCCCGTTTTGTTGTTTATTTTATTTTTAAATAAATAAAAAATTAATTTATTTCTTTAACTCTCTAGCTACTCCTACTTGCAATGCCTCTTCTCTTCATTTCTAAATTGATTAATTAAAAAAAAATTTTTTTTAATTTTAAAAAGAGTTAGAGAAATCTTTAATGATTTTTATTTAGACATTTTAGTGGAGGGCATTTTAAGGGCAGGTTGTGTAATAGCTTTTAAAAGCTCATTCACTAATGATTAACGTCAGATGTCCTTATTTTTTAAAGGTTAATGTCAAAGGACTTATAGCTGTCCAAGCCTTCCCTAGGCCTTGTTTTTAAATTAATGGCAATGAATAGTTGTATTCACTTTATTTTTTATTTTTAAATATTTAAAATTATTTTTATATTTATTGTAAACTATAATGATAAACCCATATATAAACTTAAAATAACATACCGTAAATGCTCGAATAATTAACCTCTCTCAAATAATTACCCTCTTTAATAATTACACCCTCCCTTTCCTTCTCTAATTTTAAAAATATTGAAAGAATCATTGTCAATTTTAATTATTGAAACATTATAAGAATCAATATCAAAAATAAATGGATTTCCTCCTCGATTTATTGAGATATACCTTAAATTTAGCCCATCCTCTCAATTAATTACCCCCTCCAGAGAGAGGTTGAAACAATAGTTACCCATTGTAATTATTCGAGCATATACGGTAGTTCATTATGGAAGGTGCTGCGTAAGACTCTGTGTGAGCAGCTAGATGCAAGGGAAAAGATATTTCCTTTAATAAAAATAATTGGCATTTAATTTAAAAATTTTTCTTAACTAATTTTAATTTATTAAATATTTTAATTACTAAATTATTTAAGAATCTAAAAATGAAGTTGAAATTTTATTTGCTTTCATTTTATTCCCTTTTCCAATTTTGTTTCAACGAAGGAAGTGAATTTAAGCAATTGATAACCTCGATTGAGGATGCGGGAGTAAAGGAATATTTAGAAAATAATTTTGAGAATTTGGAGAATAAATTTAATATTGTGAAAGAAAAAATTGTAAAAAAAAATTATTTTTGATAATAAAAAAATTTAATTTTAGAAAAAGCATAAGCCTTTGTACATATAAGCATTTAAAATCATCCGTGAAGGAATTACGGGATGAATTTAATGTAATTGTGGAAGAGGATAATTGGAATAATTTATCCAAATTTTTAAATGATGGAAAAACATTTTTGAAGGAAATTTGTGACGAAATTACTGAAACTTGTATTAATTTCAACGATTTTAATTACACTAAAGCGGCAACCATAATTGCTAAAAACAAGCACATATTCTCAAAAATTTTTAAATTTTGGCACCAAAAAATTAATTCTATTCCTCAAGCACGTCGAACAGCTATTTCTCTCCTTTAGCTAGTGTAAAAGTTTATTCGGCGGCTGGGAGGGAACCAGCATCTTCAGTAGACCAGACTGATGTGTTAGCCATTACACCACGCCGCCTACTTCACAGCTTTAGGAAATTAATAGCTATATGCTTTACATTAATTAATGAACACAATCCAAAAGCTAAATTTTTATTAACTTTGGGGTCTCCACTTGAATCTGAACATATTACAGTATTTAAAATTAAGCGAATGAATTGATGAAATATTATTTTTAAATAAAAATATTATCATGAATTTATTATGATTTTTAACGATTTATATTTAATTTGTTTAAATTTTTGAATTTTAAGTTTGATAAACTTTTTTTGATTTTTATTTTTTATAATGAAATATTAAAGGTTATATCGCAAAAGAAAACATTCATAATATTCATGAATCACGAAAGTTCATGATATTCGTGATAATAAACTAATAATTATGAACGAATCTAATATGTCATAGAATGAGTTTAATTTCATTTTCAATAAATCCTTAATCATCAATAATTATTAGAAGATTAAATTTGTTAAATAATTGGATGGACAGTAGTTGTTTGTTGCTTTTTAAACCATTTAAACAAAAATAAACGTTTAATAAGTTTAAATTCCTTTTTATACGCCTCTTTATAGTCGCTGCTGAAAAATTGCCGAGTTAAAATTTTTTGATTTTTATTTAATAAATATATTTTTATTTTATTATGCTCTCGACCAGGGGCCTATTTCAATTGTCCACAGATTCTGCATTCTGTGCACAGAACACAGATTCTGTGGAAATTCTGTTTCAATTAAATTCTGTGTGCACAGAATCTGTGGTGCCCGCAGATTCTGCGGAAACATCCAATGATTCTGTGGAAACATTCCGCAGATTCTGTGGATGAAAATTTCTGTGGAAAATATAAAAATCTGTGGATTTTTTCCACTGATCCACAGAATTTGTATTTCAATTATTTTTCTGTGGTTCTGTGTATTTTTTCTTCTAAATTCAAATTTTTTATTTCCGCGTTTTTGAAAATAACAGTTTTATTGAAACGAAAAATGGTTTGGACAGTTCGGTACTACCGCAGTATTAATGGTACCTGATTTTTTGAAGTAAAACTTTAAAAATTCTTAAATTAAACTGAAAAATATTGTAAAGATTTAAAAATTTTCCCTCCAAATCACATAACATCCCTTTAAATCTCTTTGATATCACTTTAAAACCGCTGATATACCGCTTAATTTTCTTGTTCATCCAATATCCTTAAATCTCCAATTAAATTAATGTCCTAAAGCAGGGTTCGGATCGGAAAAATCAGGAGATGTCGATCCGACATGTGGCTTTTTCAAACTACGATAGAAGTTGTTGCAAGGGAGGGAAATGTTTGGGGATTGTTTAGTCAGAAATTGAGGTTCCTGGAAATCGAAAATGCCTGGAATCCAAAATTATAGTCAAATCGGAACTTTAAAATCGTAGAGGAGTGATTAAGTGGGATATCCATTGATTTTGAGGTTTAATATATTGGAGTGATTAAGGAGGAAATCTATCATTAAATAGGAGGAGAGATTATGACGGATATCAATGAGAGATCATGGGAGATATCCCAGTATACGCTATACAGATATATTCTATAGATCCTGGTAAACATCCCCTCATTAGAGATATCCATGATGATTAGAACATCATAGCTCTAAATTTCAGAATCTCTCACGTTTTTTATTTTTTTATTGCTTGAATATAACAAAAACTGCGTAAAAAAGATGTACCTTTTTCAAAATTAATTTTAAGCAATAATTTTAGGTAATAAAATTATAATTTTTATATCAAAAAATAGAGAATGATTCAAACTTTAATAATCTTTAAAAATTTTGAAATTTGGTTAAGCCTAGGCCTAGAAAAAAATTGTTAAAGTTTTTCCACAGAAAGTTCGCAGAAAAAATTTTAGGGTGGATTTTTTAAAGAATTCTGTGTATTTTCCGCAGACCACAGAAATAATTGAAACAGAAATGCACAGAATCGACTAAAAAAGCCACAGATCTGTGGATTTTTTTCTGTGCACAGAAAAATAATTGAAATAGAATTCTGTGGTTTTTGCATGTTTTTGGATGTTTTGCAGAATCTGTGGATGTTTCCACAGATTCTGTGCATGTTTCCACAGAATCTGCGGACTTCTTTTTCCGCAGAATCTGTGGAATAATTGAAACAGAATTTCTGTGGTTCTGTGGTCTGTGCACAGAACGCAGACCGCAGAATCTGTGGACAATTGAAATAGGGCCCAGAGGTGGGTCGGAACAGCCCGAGGTGTCGGAAATCGGAACTGCCGGAAATCGGAAATGGCTCAAAAGTCGGAACTCGGAAATCAAATTTTTTTTTCGTAAATCGGAAGGAAAAAACATCGGAAATCGTAATTCTGACCCATCTCTGCTCTCGACTACGTATTTATTTTTAAGTAAAGCTAGTAGAAGAGTGCCCCTACCCCCATTCTATTTTTAAATTATAAAATGCTAGATTTTTCCAGATCAAAAGAGTAATGATAAGGGCCTGTATATGTTAAATCTTTTAATCTTAAAAATATCCTTGATGGTTTTTTTCTTGTGTTTAATTTACCTGTTTATGTAAAGAATTGGTGCATTTGAAGCACTGCCAAAATTAATGAATGTTGCACCAATAGTGCCAAGAATTGTGAAATTTAATAAATTGAATGAAATAAAATTTAAAGTAGTTAGTATAGTAAATAATGTAAACATTATGATGCCAAATGTATAACTTCCCATATTAACAAAAACGATCAAAAACAGAGATCTGTACACTTTTGACATACTTTGATCAGAAGGAGTGAGAAACAATTTTCCTAATTTAAAAGCAAAATATGAAGAGCTAACCAAAGGATACATAAATTCTATCTTATAATAAGGTTTATTAAACAGAATGTACTGCTCAGCAGGGGTCGATCGGAAATGACGAAGGTGCCGGAAATTGGAACTGTCAGAAATGGAACTTGGACATGAGCTCAATTTTCGGAAATCGGAATTCCGATCGACCTCTGTTGCTTAGTTAGCCTCCCCCCACACCACAAAGTTTTTTCAAATCGGAATTATAAAAAAATTTTAAAGCCAAATTTTAAGGAACCAACCTTCCCTAATTTTCAGTATTACTGCAACAATCAAATAAGAAATTAAAGCTGGAGCATAAACTAAAGGAGACATTAGCAGTAATATAATAACACTGTCATTATAGTACATCACACCCATAACGCTATTTAAATTTCCGTCAACGAGCACATCAGAAAATTTAATGGCAGAATACACTATTTTGTACAATATGAAGGAACCATAAAATAATATAATGGCAACATGAAGACTAATGTACTTTTTCTTGTTTATACATTGATAACTTGATAATAAATAAATTAGGACTGGATTTGATATAGTTCTAGTTCCGTATAACTTACTAAATTGGAAATACTGCCGCAATAAGTCTGTCAATACTGAGTAAGTTAAACATAAAAAGTGCCGAAAAAAACCCAACAATACTGTGTGCATTAAAGAAAATAGATTTTCCAAAGGGAATTAAATTTCTCCCACTCAGAGCTACAGAAAGGAAGTAAAAATGGTTGGATTGGTGCAGAATTTCGTAAAATGAGTTGAAAACCAGAAGAATTGATGTATTACTTGAGAGTGCAGAATATTTTTTTCTAAAATTTTTATTTTCACCCTCCAAGTAACCTTTAATTTTGTTCCTCCGTTTTTTTCCTTCCCTAAATTTTCTTTATCCATTCCGATGGCACTTAATGTAGGTTTGGACGATTTTTGAAAAATTTCATGTCAATTAACTGGGCCACTGACCAAACTTTGTGCAGAAAATTTAAATTCCCTTTCAATGGTCCAAACGGAACCGGACATACTGAAACTAGCATGGCCGAGCTATAATTTTATTCTCTATACTCATAACGAAAAATCTGTTGAAGGAAGTAAAGGGAGTAACGAAAGTTAATGCAATTCCAATTAACCTGTATTTAACAGTTATGTAACAAACACTTATGTTAGCTGGAATTCCAATAATTGCAATCGAGGAGTAAATAATTCCTGGTATTAAAAATATTGGTGAAATCCCAGCATTTATTAAAGCCATAAATTCATCCTAAATTTTATTTAATTTCAAATAATTTTAAAATCGAAATTCTAATAAAAATTGTGGACAATTATTCTTAGGAATTTAGATGAAAACTCGAATTAGATACGGATCCTCGATACCAATATGGCCTTCAGACACAACACCTCCCCATGATTCCCTGTTGGATACTAAACATTTCCTAATTTATTAATTAAATGATATAGCCCTTAATTAACTGATTTGTCTCATTAATGAGATAACCCTTTAGAAAATAATTTAGTCAAAAATAATTGAGAATAAAAATTTTACATTAAATGGTGCAAATATGGCATTTGTGGATAAATTCGATTCACTATTATTCATTGCCATTCAAATTTGTATCAAGTTAGTCGGCTCTCAATTTGTATGAGTTATCTACTTGAGGCTAAAAATATTATATTATATGTACATATAATCAGTTGTTTCAAAACCGAGGGGATCTATTTAAAATTGTTATCTTAAATTGAGTATAACTAATTTATGCTTTCAGCCTTTCGATTTTATTAAAAACTAAATAACCTTTTAAAAATTGTGTTTAAAATTTACAATTTATGTCTTAATTAATTTATAAGGTTAATTACCCAAGAAAAAGATTTCAGATAAAAAATCAATACGCCGTAATGGCACCCACAAAAACTGAATTACAACAAATAATGGAAAAATTGGCTGCTTTAGAATTAAAAATCGATAATAACAACACAAAATTTTCGTCTTTTTCTAATGAAATTCTTCAAATTAAAAATGCTTTAACAACAATTGAATCAAAAATTCAAACAATTGAAACAACAATTGAAACTAATTTTAAAAACAATGAGTCATCAGCAAGCGAACAAGAGCGTAACCGTTCAATTGTTGTTATTGGTCTACAAGAATCTAAATCAACAACACCATCAATTCGTGTTGTCGAAGATAAAGCCGCAATCGAAGATGTACTCAACTTGTTGGGGGTTGAGAGCCCATTCGTTTCATACAGAATGGGTAAGTATGACCCAACTGCTAAAGGTTGTCGTTTACTTAAAATTGTTTTTGGTGCTTCAAAGTTTCAGCGAATTACACTTGCTGAATGGAAACGTCACAGAGTGGAAATGAAAAAAGAAGCTAAATGGTCTCGTTTATTGATTAGGCCAAGTCTTACTCGTGAACAATTGGAAACTGAGAAAATTGAACGTACTAAGAAGCGAGATGAATACAATAAAAGAATGAGTGCCAATGTGACTGAAAGAACAAAAAACCACTAAGTGGTCGTCCAAGATTCAAGGTTTTAAAAAATTTTTTAAATAAATCCCCTTTTTATAAATGTCTTTATTTTAATAGCCGGAGCTTAGTTAACAAATTAGATGCCTTAAGATTACTTTTAATTTCTAAATCCTTTAAAATAATTTGTGTTTCCGAATCGTGGTTGAACAAAAAAATCGATAATTCCCAAATTTTACATAGTACATCTTATTCCATCGTTAGATGCGATAGAGGTTCTAGGGGCGGCGGTGCATGTATTTTAGTAGATAATATAGTTCCTTTTTCTCCCGTTAAAATTCCTAAAAATAAAAATTCCGATGTTGTAGCTATAGACATTTATTCCCCAAAATTTGACAAATTTAGAATAATAACAGTTTACCGCCCTACAACAAACGAAAATTTAAATGACTTCCAGGAACTTCTTGAGATCTTAAGTTACCTAATATCTATTAATCATAACTACATAATTGTAGGTGATTTTAATTTCCCCAATCTAATCTGGGAGGATAATATACCGCAAGCTCTCAATCATAAATCACCGTCTGAAAAATTATTTATTGATTTCGTAGAAAACTGTAATCTATTTCAAGAAATCTCTTCTCCAACGAGACAAAGTAATTATCTTGATCTACTTTTCTCCTCTTCCACCTCTCGCGTTGCCAAAAATATTACCATTAATGCCCCATTCAAAAATTCTGACCATAACACCATTGAATTTAACTTAAATTTCAATTGTTTTCCAAAAGAACCAGAAATTCATGACTTCCACAATGCCGATTACAATCAAATTAACAATATTCTAATCGGTTTAAACTGGAATACTTTGTTTATAAATTGTACCAATGTAGATTCTCAATATACCCTATTTTTAGAAATCATTCATCAAATTATCCAAAATTTCATACCACTAAAAATGATCAATAAAGATATTGCTAAATTCCCTAAACATATTCAAAAAATGATCTCATATAAAAACCTTTTATGGAAAAATATTAATAAACCTACTACCCGTGAAAAATACATTTTCACTCAACAGAAAATCGATAAAGAAATTTCTCGTTTCTTTAAAAATAGAGAAATCTCAAAATTCAATGATTCCCGATCTAAATTCCAGTATATAGGCGCCTTCCTTAAATCCAAAAAAACCAAAATCCCAATCTTCAACAATAACAATCAATTTACCATTTCAGCCAAAGATAAAGCCGAATGTCTCGCCAAACAATTCCAATCTGTTTTTAACTCTTCTAACTTTGACTCCTCTGACATAAAAGCTTTTAACAAAAATACTTTATCTTTTATTGATATCAATCCAGAGGAAATCTATAACATTATAAGCAAACTTGACAATGTTAATAACCTATCTCCGGACGGAATTCCCAACATTTTCTTAAAAAACACCGCAACTTCATTAACCATTCCATTAACAATTATATTTAATATGTCAATCATGACAAGTAAAATTCCGACTATTTGGAAAAAGTCAATAATCCGACCAATTCCCAAAAATAATAATCCAAATGAACCCAAGGATTTTCGACCTATCTCTCTCTTATGCTCAACCTCTAAAATTTTAGAACGGATTATCTCTAATAAATTGACTTCATTTCTTGAAACTAACAATTATCTTCCCACCTGCCAACATGGTTTCCGTAAAAACCATTCAGTTATAACTCAACTCCTAGAAACTTATAACGACTATACATTAGCTATAGAAAATAAGAAATGTGTTGACGTTATATTCTTCGACCTGGCAAAAGCTTTTGATACTGTTCCCCACGATCGCCTTCTGAAAAAACTCAATCATCTAGGCATCACTGGCGCTTTACTAAATTGGATTGAGGATTATCTGTTAAATCGAACTTTTACTGTTCTTGTCGAATCTAATAACTCTAATGAATATCCTATAACAAGCGGAGTTCCTCAAGGATCCATTCTTGGCCCAATTTTATTCATCTCATATATTTTTGATATAATAGATATCTGTGAAACAGAAAATGTAACACCCAAATTATTTGCTGACGATTTAAAGGCCTATACCTGCTTTGACTTCTTAAACAAAAATCACTATTCTCCACTCCAAAAATTTATCCAAACATTCTCAAAATACTGCGAAATAAATGGCCTTAAAATCGCTGTCAGCAAATGCAGTTCTTTTCACATAGGAACTAAAAATCCCTTCCACCAATATACTCTACAAAACATTAATATACCAATTATTCCACACAACGAACCTATTCGTGATCTTGGCATCTATTTTACATCAAACCTGAAATGGGATTCTCACATTAAAATTGTAACAAATAAAGCAACTGGAATTTATTATACTCTTATAAGATCCCTTAAAACTAATAATACACAATTCCTAATTACTTTATTCAAAATATATGTCTTACCTATCCTTGAGTTTGGATCTCCTATAATTAACCCTTATCTAAGTAAAGACATTAACGCTTTAGAAAATGTTCAACATAAATTTTTAAAAATAATATATTTACGCTCTATAAAACATAACAACAGTCCAACCTTACCTAATTATAAAGAACTCCTAGACCTATTTAAACTTGAATCTCTATCGCATAGACGTCTAAAATCTAATCTTATCCTTTTCCATAATATCATTTTAGGTAAAATTAATCTAAAACACGATAATACATATAGCATTCTCCCTACCACTACTAGAGGTAATCCACATAACCTATTTATCCCCTTTTGTTCAAGCACCATTCGGAAAAACTCATTTTTTATAGACATACCAAACATTTACAGAAAACTTCCAACAGAATTACAAAAATCGTCAATCGAATTGTTTCCAAAGCTCCTAAACAATTTTAACATAAACAATATTTTATCATAGCCACATTCCATTCAAATGTCTCCAGACCCTTAGCGATTTAAATTTAAATTATTGTCACGTTTACTTTACTTTATTTTATCTGAATGTCACGTTTTTATACGTATAAATTGAATTGAATTGAATAAGGCAATTGTTTAATATATTTGCGCAAATATTTACTCAACTTTTATAATTTTTTTAAATTTTAACATCTGTCTAATTAACCTTTACCACATAAAGTAAAAGGAATAAATTTAAAGGCAAATTCTAAAATTTAATTAAAAATTTATAAATTAATTTTCTGTCAATGTAAATATTTTCTTTGAAAACGAATAAAAATGATGTATTAATTTAATTAAAAATTGCATTGAAAATATTATCAAGGTATAAGCGTACTTAAGAATTTAATCAACAATTTTAAATAAAAAATTGAATATATCCTCGTAATTATAGGTACATTATTTACCAAGCGGCCCCAATAATATTTTTTAGCGTCAAAAATAATTATAGCTTCAATTTATAATTTATAAGCGCAAACATATTGTAAAGCATATAGCTATTTAATTCCTAAGGCTATGCAGTAGGCGGCGTGGTGTAATGGCTAACATATCAGTCCGGTCTACTGAAGATGCTGGTTTGCTCGCAGCCGCCGATTAACCTTTTGCACTAGCTAAAAGAGAGAAATAGCTATAGCCCAGCTGCTTTAACATATTTTAACTCAACAAACAAATAGTCGAGCATCATCGTCGAGCATAACTTTTTAAATCTGTGCCCTATAGAGGTCAATTTGAGCTGAGGTGGCGATGTTCTGCTAATGTCATCGTTGTCATGCAGAACAAGCTGGAAATTAACAAAATTTTTAAAATGAAACATATCAGTTAGAAGGTTTGTTGTAGTGATGTTCGGGAGAAGAAAAAACTCGGGAATCGGGAAACGGGAGTCGGGTCGGGAAATGACCTCGGGAGTCGGGATCGGGAGTCGGGAATTTACAACAAAAAAATTTTTGGCGCCTTCGGCGCCAAAAATACTTATTTTTTTCAATGCAGGCGAAAATTTTGAGAATTTTGGAAGGTCAGAGAGCCAGACATCTAACCTCCTGGATACGCCATTGATGTTATGATCACTCTCGACAGTTTTGATATCCAACTTAATCTAAAATCCTTTGTCCGCGCCGCAGGCGAAAATTTTCTTAAGTCTGAAGGGCTAAGAACCAGACTTCGGCCTTTATTCACCGCCGGAGGCGAAAATTTTGAGAAATAAGAAGCCGGTTGGAGGCTTTGAGTAAAATTTTCTTAGAAAGCAGCAGTTACAAAGTCTAAATAAACGCAATCCAGAAAGGGGAGGAGTAAATACTTTGAATAATTTTGAGAAATGTAAAGAAATATTTACCGCCGGACGCGAAAATTTTGGGATATGGAAAGCCAATGAGCTAGATTTCATCCTTTTTCTCAGCCGCATGTGACTTTAAATTTAGAAGACTAAGAGTGAAATTTTTCCTCCCTCAGCGCCGCAGGCGAAATTTTTTAAGTTTGAAGACTAAGAAGTCAGATATTTTTCAGTTTCTGCACCGCAGGCGAAAATTTTTTGAAAATTCACGACTAAATTAATATTTCGTTAATTTTTTGACGTTTATAATATTGAAAAAAATAATTTAAAAATTTTAAAATCAAAATCAATGTTAAAACCATTTATTTTTGGTTGGAAAAATTATTTAGAAACATTTCCCATCCCTGGACTCGAACCTAGCCCCAACAAAGCGACTGAAGTCACTCAACTTAACCACTCAACCACATCTCAACAATAGCTATATGGGAAAAAATTTAAATATTTTATTTTTGCTTTCTCTTTTTTATTTTTTTCTTTATTTTTTCCTTTCAAAAATAAAATTTTATCAGAAAAAGCCATTCTTAGGGGTGTAAAAATTTCCCGACTAAGTCGGGAATTGGTATCGGGAGTCGGGGTCGGGATCGGGAGGCCGAAAACTCGGGAAATTTCCCGAGTCGGGTGTCGGGAGTCGGGATACCCGAACATCACTAGTATATACCACAAGAAAAATGACGACCATGAGGGTGGAAATGAGGAAGATGAAGAACAAGTCCGCCGTTACAACCCTCTTTTTATAGGTTTTATCCTTATATACATTATTATTTTAGTTATTCTATACATATA